TGGCGTAAACACTGAGAACTGGGAAACCCTGGCCCTTGAGTGCTCTAACTGGAAGTCAGCTGTGACCAATCATGTTACAGTATATGATTTTGTAAGTCTTGACAAGAATCATCTCTTGCTTATATGTGTGTGTTGAGAAAGAACCACTCCCTGATTAGGATGTATATCAGGTGAGGTTTTCTTGATACAGGTAGTGGGTGAAATGAAGTAATCAGAGATGGAACTATGCTACAAGGTTTGCTGGAAAGAAGCAGATTAATGCATTATTTTGTGTTTTTTTCCTTCTGCAATGGACAATGTGGACAATGTGTTTTCAAGGCTACTGTATTTTTCTTTATAAAGCTACATGTATTAACTACTCCAGAGTAAAGACATTTTCCTTTATACTCTGTGCAAATCAACTTGGGATCTGGAGCTGGGAGGACTGCTGTGTAGATTCAATATAAACTAACAAACCGCAACAGGTTATGGGCCCAGTCTGCCCAGCTTGCCCAGTCTGACCAGATTGCCCAGTTGGATATTTTTTTCTCCAGTTCCAGTTTTGAAGACATTTTTGGTTTTGCATTGTGTGTTTTGTTGGCAAAGCAAGAAGATGGATACTGGAATGAATTTTGCTTTCCCTATGGCCAGGTTAAATGGCAATAACTATTCCATTTGGAAAGTCAGAATGGAAAGTTATTTGAGGAGAGAATCCTTGTGGGAATGTACAGAGAACCCAGTGCAGCAGCCAGCTACAGCAGAGCAGCTGAGAGCTCTGGAAAGAGCAAGGTCTACTCTGATGTTAGGAGTTGACGATGATCAATTGGTTCATATAAGCAGCCTGCCAACTCCCAACGCAATTTGGGTGAGACTCAGAGAAGTATATGCTTCTAGTTCGGCAGCCAGCAACAGTGGCTGTGCTGGCAAGGCGACTTTACAGGAAAAGACTGGAGAAGAATGAAAGTCTGAAAGACCATTTGCAGATATTGCAGAGTTTGTTTTTGCAACTGGAGGAGAGAGACTTTCATCTCACAGAGCCGAACAAATGTTTTATTGTCCTGTCATCCATGGATGATTCGTTTGATGGGATAGTAAATTCCTTAGAATCACTCCCCCAAGCACCATTAAATCTCCAATATATTTGTGCCAGACTTCTTGCTGATTGGGAAAGGCAAAGAGATCAATTCCTGGAGACTGCAAACACAGCAGGGCATTCTCAAGGAAAGCAGTCAGCCGGAGTTGCACTCGAGGAGGAGACGGAGAAAGTTTGTGTGGTGAGAAGATGCTTCAATTGTGGGTCTCCAAACCATTTAAAGAGGAATTGCCCAAAGCAGCAGAAGAAGCAAGGAGGGAAGAAGGTGAACCAGAGGAGGAGTTCCTCGTATGTAAGAATTGTGAAGTCCCAGGGGAGTCCAGCAGTTGAAGACATATTTTATGTGGACTCTGGATGTTCACAGCATATAGTGAACAACAAAAGTTTAATTTGTAACCCTGTGAATCCTAAATGTTCAAATGTTACCCTTGAAGATGGAAAACAGTACAAAATACAGGGGCAAGGGGAAGTTTATGTTAAGCATTTGGGTAAAACATTAAGGAATGTATTTTTAGTTCCAGAGATTTATTATAATTTATTATCAGTTGGAAAACTGGATAAAGAAGGTTATGAAGTTAATTTTTCTGGAGGAAAAGTCAGGATTTTGAAAGGGAATAAGTTATGTGGAACTGGTGTATTACAGGGGGGTTTGTATGTGTTGACCTCAGGAGATAACACAAGTGAAGTGAAGTAAATGTAATAAGTAAGAATGCTCCATTACACCAGGAATGTATTCATGATTTACATAGAGCATTAGGTCACCCAAGTTTCAAAGTGTTGTATAAAATGCCAGAGTTTAGTGAAGGCATAAAATTAAAAGATTGCAAGAAGTTTCTAGATTGCAATGTATGCAAGAAAACTAAAACACAGTCAGCTCCAGTTAGTAAAAGTTTGAGAAACTCAGAGGAAAAGTTTCAGTTGGTACATGCTGATTTAGTTGGACCATTTCAACCGAGTAAGGGTGGAGCCTGTTATATACTGTGTTTATTAGATGACTATTCTTGTTTTTCTTGGTGTTTTTTGTTAAAACAAAAGAGTGACGTTTTTGATATTATTAAGAATTGGGTGGCATATGTGAAGAGACAATTTGGAGTAGGAGTAAAGGCTCTCCAAACTGACAGAGGAGGAGAGTTTACCTCACATAGTTTAGAAAATTTTCTGAAGCAAGAGGGGATAAAGCACAGACTCACATGTGCTTATCAAAGTGCAGAAAATGGAAAGATAGAAAGGTTTGTAAGAAAAGTGCAAACAGTGAAAGATTCTTTGTTAGAAGATTCTGGATTATCCCAAAATCTATGGGGAGAAGCAGTAATGACTGCATGTTATTTAATTAATAGACTCTGATGTGAGCCTATTCAGAACACCCCTTATTTTATGTTATATGGCAAGAAGCCTCCATTAGGGCATTTAAGGACTTTTGGAACACAGGCATGGGTGTTCATCCCCAAACCATTAAGAAGGAAAGGCCAAGACAAAGCCAGGAAATTAACAATGGTTGGCTATGCACAGGGAGCCAAAGCTTGGCGATTTTTAGATAATGAAGGAAGCATTGTTATATCAAGATCTGCTAATTTTGCCTGTAGCCAGAATTGGGATAAGATTCATGCTAATCAGGAAGTTTTCTTTCCTATTTCGAAAGAGGAAACTCGTGAGCAAGGTAGACAAAACACAGTGCAGGAAAGTGCTGCTACACCTCAACTCATAAGTAAGCCTATAATTAGAAAATTTAAGAGGTCTAGGCTCTCAGATGAGGATGATGAGGTGAATGAAGATCCTGGGGAAGGAACTAGTCAGGAAATTTTACTCAGAAGAAGTGAGAGAACCAGAAAGAAACCTGACAGGTTCACAATACAAAATGTGAGAGTATGTTTAGTTAATTATGAGCCTCAAAGTTTTGAGGAAATAGAAAGTTTGCCACAAGGGAAGAAAGGAAAAATGGTTAGAGGCTACAGATGAAGAGCTGAAAAACATGGAAAGGTTAAATGTGTACGAACCTGCCAATTTACCAAGAGGGAGGAATCCTATTGACACAAAATGGATTTTTAAGCAAAACCTTGATGCTAATGGTCAAGTAAGGTACAAAGCGCGTCTTGTTGCTAGAGGATTTACACAGATTAGGGACATAG